CTTTCAAACAAAGCCAAGGCGTCGGAGTGAATAGTGCCCACACCTTGCCCAGCTAGGCGCTCTGAGAGGAAGAGATTTCCTCTGCTCCAGGCCTGCCTCGTGCTGATCACCCACCAGTGGAAACCTGCTCTCAGAAACATCCCCTTCCTCCCTGGCTAGTTTCTAGGTCCCAGATTCTCTAGGGACTTTACCTGGGCAGTGCACCTGGTGTACTCTGCCAGCTACTCACCGGAAAGGGAAGCAGAATAGGGGAGGAGAGTTGTTTTTAAGAACTCCAGTCATCAAAACAAATAATCATACTGATGCTAACAAGGGGGTCAGAGTGGAGACCCAAAGCCCATCTGTAGACAATTGGACATCCCCTCACAGAAGGATCACAAGGAAGGGACCAGCCAGCCAGGGCCTAGTATATGGTACAACACCGACGAAACACACAACATTCCTCTAGTTCTTTAATGCTTCCTCCCCCCCACTATCATGACCCAAGTTCTACCTTACAAATCTGGCTACACTAGAGCATGTACACTGGTACAGATAAGGGCTCTTGACACACGGAATCCAGGACAGATAAACCCCTCAGGAACAACAATGGGTAGGGGGAAGGTGGGGAGAGGAGGAACTGATCATTATGATTGACATATTGACCCACCCCCAGGGGGGTGAAGAACAGAAACGTGGGTGAAGGGAGAGAGCAGATGGTGTAAGATGTGAAAATAATAATAATTTATATTTTATCAAAGGGTCACACGAGGGTGGGAGGATGGGGAAAAGGAGGAGCTGATACCAAAGGCTCAAGGAGAAAGAAAATGTTTTGAAAATGATGAAGGCAACATATACACAAAATGTGATTTATGCAATTGATGTATAGATATAAGAGCTGTAAGAGCCCCCAATAAAATGATTTAATTGTTTTAAAAAACCTAACTCCAGTCACATTGGATGGAACCCGGATGGTGTGGTGGGTTGCACTTTGGGCTGCAAATCACAAAGTCAGTTGTTTGGAGCCAGCAGCCGTTCTCAGGGAGATAGATGAGGCTTTGTGCTCCTTCAAAGATTTACAGGGTCGGAAAGCTCTGTGGGCAATTCTGGCCTGTCCTACAGGGTTGATAGCAGTAAGAACAGACTCGATGGCAGTAACGTTTGAGGTGAACTCACATTCAACTCCAGTCCAACCAGTGCAGTGGGGCCTCGTGTTAATTACATCTGTAAAGACCCTATTTCCAAACAAGGTCACAGAAATGGCTACCCAGGGCTAGGATTTCAGCATAGATTTAGAGGGCACAATGTAACCCATAAATAGTGTCATCTTCACTGGAAATTTACTGCAGATACTGGTACTGCTGGACCTACAACAGTGGTCCTCTTTAGAAGCTCAACCTTATATCTGTACCGAAATCCTAAGATTTAATCGGTTGAGGAGAGTTAATGCTGGAACCAATTGAGCAGATGTACTATGCGTTAGGCTTAAATCGGAATTTCTAATCTGCATCGAGTAGGAAGAATCGGCTCCAGCTACAGCGAGCAGCATGTGTGGGGACGAGTCGCTGGATCTGATCTCCTCTGGCTTCCCTGTCCCCGAGAGATGGGATCAGACATGCCTCCCCATTCCACCCTTCTCCACCTACTTTGACACCAACCATTTCCCCCACAACCACCTATGCCTATGCTGAGTTCCAGCATCCATTGCAGTGGCCACCCAGGGCTCACAGACAATACTCACAATGATGGGAGTTTATCAGGGACGGTCACAGGGGACCACAAGCCAGCCAGGATCAGCCAACAGTCAGGATACAGTCACTGGAACACAACAGTGACTCCTTGGCCGAGTCTCTCTTCGGTTCTCAGAGCTCAGCCTTGGCCTTTGCCTTTGCCTCTGCGGACCAGGAAACCCAGGCTGCCAACTCTGCCTTACAAACCCAGAGTCTTGGCGCCATTCTTGCTCTGTGCCTTAGTCTCCATGCCAGTCTCTGGTGCCTCGGGTCTCAGCCTCCGCTACTTCAGACAGAGATCTGGAACGCATTCTTCCATTGGTCCTGGGCCCTCTGCCTCTCATGCACCAACGAGTTTGCTGGAGGCGTGGTCGTCGCCTTTTAGCAGACCACACTCCCAAGGACAACCAAGGGTGTGACTTGGTTTACTCCTACTAACTCACACATAGCAACCCTGTATTAAAGTCAGGCCTTAATCTCACCCTAATCCTGTCCATTCGTATAGCACAGAATCCTTCCAAAATGGGATGATCGCCACAGGCGAAGAGTACAGAATGAATTATGGCTGAAAGAGCCAGATTAATTGACTGCATCTCGTAGGTGTTTGTTCTTGCTGACACATGTGTGTTCTTCTGATCTGTCACTTCGATGTAGTTTCTAAGGTGGGAAGCAGCACACATAGATGCCTAAAGCAAGCAGGGGCAGAATGGTCCAGATTGGTGTAGAGTTTTACAAGCTACTAAACCAACCTACCTGATAAACCTTAACTTGATAGCCCACAGGGGACAATCAAATAGAGTGGAAAGAACTGTGGCGGTTTCACCAAGAATCAACTGTGTGGCCTTGACCAAGTGCTATCATTTTATTGAATCTCAATTTCCTCAAGCAAAAACTGAAAACCAAACGCGACCCATCGTGACCCTTTGAAAGTTGGCTGAGGCTGTAAATGTTTACAGGAGCAGACAGCCTTAAGATTAGCAGTACAGTTCTTGGATTCAAGAATGCCTCCCTTCTCCGTTTTGCTGTGATGACTGAGAATAAGCTCGCAACAAGGCCGAGAAGCATTGACTCCCACGTACTTCCCAGACCTTCATTTGAAAACACCATTTTCCACTGAAAGGAACTAGGACTACGGAGGGAACGTGGCTGGTTCCAGGGCAGCAGGAGGGATGGTACCAAGGAGCCTGGATCATCCTGTTGACTACATGTCAACAGACACAGGAGTTGGCTCGATGGGTCTCCCGCGGGGCAACAGAGCCCAGCCCTGTGTTGACTTGTACTCTAGGCTGCTTCTCACCCTTTCTTAAAATTCTTTCACGTCTGAATCTGTACCCCAGCTACGGGTGACACCAGGGCATGAGTCTCATAGGTGCTATCTCAGACACGTGACGGTGACATCCCTGGGCAGTGGATTCAGAATGATTCCCTTGGTACAGGTAGAGACTCGGGAGGTCCTGAGGCACAATGACTTGTACAAGGTCGCACCCTGGTTATGAGAGTGAGCTGGGTCTCCACCCAGTGCTGGCTTCTCAAAGCTTTTGTCTTGGGTGCACCCAGGCTTTTCCCAGGGTCTGTGGGGAGGGCTACGCTGTCAAATGATGTACAAGGACAGAGATGCCATGGGGATAAATGAACTTTCAGGATCCTCTGTGGTGGCCGCATGCCTAAGGACCGCAGCAGACATTTCTTCTGTCTACAAAGCTTACTCCATCCATCTTCGCCGAAGCTGGTGCCCAGTCTATTGGAGTTAACAACACCAACCAGAGAAAGACCCTCCTGTCTAAGAGTCATAGACTTCAATACCCCAAATCGGCCTTTGTTCTCATTCTTGCTGCTTTGTTATTCTTAGTGCGCTCTCTTGCTGTCCTTGCCTCTCACCACAGGCTCTCCCTCCCACTGTTTCTGCCCTTCCTTTTCCTGGGGTCCCACAGCAGGAGCAGCTGCTATGACTCTAGCCCTTTAACTCTTTGCTCGCTGAACTCTGTAGTAGTTTGTGAGTCTGCATGAAACCTGATTTTCTCTTCTTTTATGTAATAGCAGCTCTTCGTGGACTTTATACCTTTGTTAGCTAATTCTCTGGCTTTAGACAAAGGGCCAGTTCTAGTCTTTCTTTACCTGGCTATTCTAAACTCCTTTCACTTCATTTCCTTCAATTTCCTGTTCCCTACAAACGTCCACCTCCCTCAATAAGTCTATTCATTCAGGGCCTCACTCTGTCTTTTGTCTCTGAAAGACCTAACAGATTCCACCTGGGACTTCTAGGTCTCATTGGAGGACTTATCCTTGACCACAAAGCACAAAGAATTTAGGACATTGGTGCGCAGGCACCCACAGCGTAAGGCCAGCCCCCTCCCCAGCTCATTTGAGTGGAGACCCTCAAGCTAGAAACAGGTGCTAGATCAGTGGTTCTCGACCTTCCTAATGCAGCGACCCTTTCATACAGTGCCTCATGTTGTGGTGACCGCCCCCCCCAATCATAAAATGATTTTCTTTGCTACTTCATCACGGGATTTTTGCTACTGTTATAAACCATCATGTAAATATCTGATATGCAGGATGTATTTTCAGGGCTACAAATTCAGCGTAATTAAAGCATAGTGATTCATCACAAAAACAATATGTAATTATATGTTGTGAAATATTTATTTCTACTGACAAATAAATGAAACTATCTTGAAGCATGGCGTAGCATGGGTAACAGTCTTCACACCAGGTATGTGGGCGTATCTGAGTGTGGGCAGACCTGCCTGGAGACAGATAGAGGAGTGGTGTCTCGGTTCCTAAGACCATCGGAAATATGCTGTTTTTCCTATGGTCTTAGGGGACCCCTGTGAAAGGGTCGTTCGGGGTGTGGGGCAGAGTCTCGCCATCCTGGCATTAAAGGAGCAGCCTGGTTGCAGGGCCGATTGGTTTGCTCCTCTGGCAGTCCATCGTATTTTCAATATGCACTGCCTCACCCCCTGACAAGTAAGTCAGAGTACTGATGGCAGGTGAGCAGGACACAGGGAGAGAGTGACAGGAAGGGAACGCCCACAAGAAGGCGCTCGCTCGCTCCTGTGGGAGGAAGGGAATGGAGGGGTTCTGTGAGTGCCAGGTGTGGCCCAAGAGGGGAGGTGTGAGGCAGGATTTTGGACTGGTTCATATGGAGGTTTAGCTTCCGGCTAAACTTTTTTATTTCCACTTCAGATATACTGAATCCAAATCTATAGATGCTTGGGTGATTCTTAGAGATTATGCATAGGAAAGAATTACCTGGGGGGCGGACCGCCAAGTTGTGCGCTGAGAGCGTCGATGATCCCGGACGTGCAGCTCCATCTTCGCCAACATGCAGGGGTGTCGCTCTTCTTGCTTGTCGTCCTCTATCACTACGTGGCTGTCAACAATCCCAAGAAGCAGGACCGAGAGCGGCGCTCTCTCAGCCAGGGTCCCAGGACCTAGTCTGAGGCAAGATGGAGGGTGTGAGGCCCGCCCTCACCTTTCGCTCCATCTCTTCTACCCGGCACAACATACAAAGCAACTACACCTGGAGTTTCCCAAACAACTTTTATTTCCTCAAAGTCTTCCTTAACCCTATGGAACAAGAAGCTGCCACTGGGGAGGGGGGAGTGGGGAGGGAGGGGAAAAATGAGGACCTAATGTCGGGGGGTTTAAGTGGAGAGAAAATGCTTTGAGAAACGATGTACAAATGCGCTTTACACAATTGATGTGTGTATGGATTGGGATAACAGTTGGATGAGCCCCTAATAAAATGTTAAAAAAAAAGAAGCTGCCACTGAATAGGGCCCACTATAGGGGCTGCTGCCTTTTTTACCCCCACCCCCAATATAAAAATATAGATATTTTAAAAAGGAAGGTGCCATTAGTCAAGTGGACTTTCCCTTGTGAGCATGGAGAGGGAGGACGGGCTGTGCTATAGCCCAGGTGCACAGATTAAGGAGCTAGGCGATGCAGGTGGATATCTACACGTAGAGTGGGAGGAGATGTGGGGGGTCAAAAGAGGACACAGGTATGGGCAATGAGGACAAAGAAAGGGTCCATAGAAAACCAGGTGAGGAGAATGAGTATGCAGAGGGTCATGACACTGCCAAACCATGGTGGCTTAGACATCCCCAAGATGGGCGAGTATGGGAAAGTATGGAGTCAAGGTAATGGAAATGATTTCATTTACAGAATAAATGAATAAACAAGTAAAAGAATAAAATATCTAAGAATACATTTAACTAGAAATGTGGCTTATACAATAAAAATAAGATACTTCTGAAAGAGATGAAATTTTTCTTAAATAAATGAAAATACGTCCTATGTCCAAGGCTTGGTAGATTTAATATGTAGAAAATGTCAGTACTACCCAAAGTGATTTATAGATCTAATGAAATCCTGATCAAAATTCTAACAGGCATTTATACAGAAATGGAAAAAATCAATCCTCCACTTTATGTTGAATGATGAGACCCCCAAAAACTAATGTAATGTTGAGAGAGAAGAACAAAAATAAAAGGACACATACTTTCTGATATTAAAACATTTTATTCAGCTATGGCAATCAAAGCAGCTTGATACTGGTATAACAATAGAAAAAATAGACATAAAATACATACACATTAAATACCACCCTGCGTAAAAACTACTGGGTCACTGAAGAAGGAAGGAATAAATATTGTTAAATTCCTTGAAACAAAGAAGGACAAAAATACAATATACCAAAACCTTTGGGAGCACAGTACAAACCATATTCAGAGAGCAATCTAAATGTACACATCGAAAAAGAAGAGCAAGCCAAAATCAGCTCCTTAACTCAACATCTTTAACAAGTATAAGAGCACTAAAATCAATCTCCAGTTACCAGAAGAAAAGAAATAATAAAAGCTAGAGCAGACATAAGTGAATCAGAAAACAAGACAAGGAAGTTACTTCTTTGAAAGACTTCACAAAATTGACAAACCCTTGGCAAAATTAACAATAAAAAATAAAGGGAAAGATGGAAATATCAAGAATAAGAAATGAAAAGGGCAACATCACAATAGGACCAACTGGAAAAAAAAACAGCGCAATACTATGAAGGACTGTACACTAATCAAGTGGAAAACATAAATGAAATGGACAGATTTCTAGAAACACACCACCTATCTAAATTAACAAACTGACGATTTAAGCCTCAATAGATGCATAACAAAAGAATAAATAGATCAAGTCAATAAACTTCTAGCCAAAAAAACTCCAGGACCAGATAACTTCACCAGGGAATTCTATCAAGTATTCAAAGAGTTGACCGCAATTCTATACAAATTATTCCAGAATATAGAAAAGGTGGGGGGAGGAAGGGGGAACCAATCACAATGATCTACATATAACCACCTCCCAGAGGGATGGACAACAGAAAAATGGGTGCAGGGAGACATCGGTCAGTATAAGACACAAAAAAATAATAATAATTTATAAATTATCAAGGGTTCATGAGGGAGGGAGGGGAAAAAATGAGGAGCCAATACCAAGGGCTCAAGTAGAAAGAAAATGTTTTGAAAATGATGATGGCAACAAATATACAAATGTGCTTGAAACAACGGATGGATGTATGAATTGTGATACCAGCTGTCCGAGTCCCCAATAAAATGATATTTTTTTTAAAAAAGGTTGCCAAATTCTCAAAGCCATTTCATGAAGTCAGGATAACCCTGCAAATGAAGCTAGGCAAAGACACCAGGAAAGAAAAGTCCAGGCAAATATCCCTATGAACAAAGACACAAAAGTGCTCAACAAAATCCTAGCCAATAGAACCCAACAAAAATATTGCATATTTTAAAGTTAAAATAAATATAAAAATGCATCATAATCAAGTTGGATTCATACCTGATTTCAAGGATGACTAAACATTAGAAAAACAATCCATGTAATCCACCATATAAATAAAACAAAGGAAAAGAACTATCAATTAGTGCAGAAAATGTATTTGGCAAAATCCCACACTCATTTCTAATAAAAATAATCAACAGAATAGGAATAGAAGGGAAATTCCTCAACATAATAAAGGCTACCTATGCAAAACCACTAGCCAGAATCGCTCTCAATGGGGAAAAACTAAAAAGCATTCTCCTTGTCAATGGGAATGAATCATACAAGGATGACCTTTATCAACATATATGTCTCAATACTGAGGTGGAGTTCTTAGCCATAGTAGACAACAAAAATAAATGTGACTTGAGAAAGAAGGGAAACACTATTTGTATGTGATATGATTACAAACATGGACAGCACAGAAGACACGACAAGAAAATTGTTGGAAATAATTGAAAGATTCAGCAGCATCAGAGGAATCAATCGGATTCCTCTATACCAGCGGTTCTCAAGCTGTGAGTCACAACCCCTTTGGGGTCGCCCGATTTATAATCATAGCAAATTACAGTTATGAAGTAGCAATGAAAATAATGTCATGGTTGGGGGATCAGCACAACATGAAGAACTGTATGAAAGGGTTGAGGCATGAGGAGGGTGAGAACCATAGCTCTAAACCAACAGAGAGCTCTGGAAGGGAAATCAAGAAAACGCCACTGTTTATCAGAAATCACTTCCATAGAGTGCATTCTGGCTCATGGTGACCCTTTAAGGGGGGACGAACAAAATGCTCCTGAGCATTTCTGAGACGAACTCTTTTTTTTTTTTTTAAACATTTTATTAGGGGCTCATACAACTGTTATCCCAATCCATACACACATCAATTGTGTAAAGCGCATTTGTACATCGTTTCTCAAAACATTTTCTCTCCATTTAAACCCCTGACATTAGGTCCTCATTTTTCCCCTCCCTCCCCGCTCCCCCCTCCCACATGAGCCCTTGATAGTTTATAAATGGGTATTTTGTCATATCTTGCCCTGTCCGATGTCTCCCTTCATCCACTTTTCGGTTGTCTGTCCCCCAGGGAGGAGGTCACACACAGTTCCATGTAATCGGTTCCCTCTTTCCTACCCATTCTCCCTTTACCCTCCCTGTTTTGCCACTCACACCACTGGTCCTATAGGGCCCATCCGTCCTGGATTCCCTGTATTTTCAGTTCCTATCTGTACCAGTGTACCTCCTCTGGTCCAGCCAGACTTGCAAGATAGAATTCGAGTCATGGTAGTGGGAGCGGGGAGGAAACATTTAGGAACTAGAGGAAAGTTGTATTTCTCATCATTGTTACATCGCACCCTGGCTGGCTCATCTCCTCCCCGAGACCCCTCTGCAAGGGGATCTCCAGTGGCCTACTAATGGGCTTTGGATCTCCACTCTTTACAGGAGTGGAAAGTCTCATTTCTCTCCCTTGAAATGGCTGGTGGTTTCAAACGGCTGTCCTCACAGTTAAAAGCCAATGTGTATCCACTATGCAAACAGGGCTCCTATATTTGCATCAGCCACACAAAAACAAAAATACTTATGAATAAATCTAACCAGAGAAACACAAAAGGCTTGCATAAAGAAAACTATAAACCATTGCTATAAGTAAATAAGAGACAGGGGGGAGCGGGGAGGGAGGGGAAAAAAATGAGGAACTGACGCCGGGGGCTTAGGCGGAGAGCCAATGTTTTGAGAATGATGAGGGCAATGAATGTACAAATGTGCTTTACACAATTGATGTATGTATGGATTGTGATAAGAGTTGTATGAGCCCCTAATAAAACGGTAAAAAGGAGAGTTGAATGCGCCCCCAATAAAATTATTTTAAAAAGAAAGAAACCAAAAGAGACTATATAAATGGAACAATGTTCCATGCTCACGGATAGGAAAACTTAACCTTGTAAAATGTACAATGTAATTCTGATTCAGAATCCCAGAATCATTGTGTTAGTCTGGATATGTTAGAGAAACAAATCCACAGAAACTCATATGTATAAGAGAGAGTTTTATATATAGGGTAAGTGCACATCAAGAAAACATCCCAACCCAGTGCTGCCCAAGCCCACAAGTCCAACATTAATCCATATGTCCAACACCAATCAATCCACAAAGTCCTCCTTCTTCTCACAAAACACACACTATAATGCCGACTGCAGGAAGAAAGCCAAATCAGTGAACATGTAAGCATCTCAGCGCTGGCAGGGGTCTCCACACAGCTGCTCCAGCACCCAGGGCTGCATCGGGGAAGGTCCATGCGGCTTCTCCTTGGGGATGTCTTGCAGGAAGTGAGCCTTGCCAGCTGAAGCAGGGAAAATGGAATTTCAATTTACATAAGAATAAAACAGGACCCACATGAAAACAAACTCAAGGTGTATTAAAGAACTAAATGTAAACTCTAGAACTATAAAGATCATCAATGAGAAAATACATGACATTAACACACTACCAAACAATGAAAAACACACATAGCAGCAGACAAAATATATGTCTGGGACTTCTGAAAAATAAGGCACTTATGTGCATCAAAAGACTTCATTTTAAGAGTAAAAGACAGAAGTCTAGATAAAGAT